TATATATATATATATTTATATATATATTTATATATATATTTTTTTACAACGACCATTAATATTTTTTACACGATAAACAATCTGTAGTTTACATGTTTGGATTATGTATTACACGTAATAGTTACAATGGGATGCGCCATTATACATATTATTAACTCCTTAAGAACATAATAGTTCTTTTTATCTAGAGTAGTTCTCAATTCAAACTTTTTATATTAAAATGTTTGGTTCTAGTTCTACCGTATTTTATACGTTTTTTTTAAGTTTAAGTTTTAGTAAATATTATATTTTTTTAATTTTAGTTTAATTTTATGTTTTAATTTAAAAAGTAAATAAATTTAATTATTTAAATCAAATTTTGTTAAAATTTATTTGATATTTTAAATATTTTAATAATAATATTTAATATTTATATAAACAATTTAAAATTTATCATAAAATTAATATGTCAAACAATTAAAATGTTACCATAAGATTTAACAAAATTTAACTTAAAAGACTAAATACATGTATTTTTAAAATTAAAGATTAAATTAGACTAAAATTTTAAGAAGAGATTAATTCTATTTTTTATTGATCAAAACGTACTTAACAATTTAAATATGATTGTTTGTGATAAGAAAAATGTATAATTTCTTAAGAGAATACTCCAAGTACTCAAACTCTTAATTAGTGCTTAAACATTCTTTTCACTTAATCCAACAATAATTGACTAGTATAATTATATGTTTAGTACAAATAATTTCTTTAGAAAATAATCATTTGTCGCTTTTCTTTTGAAAAAAACAGATATTTAAATAAAGAAGTTGTTCTCAAACATCCTCTTAAACTTAGATACATAAAAGGAATAGTTAACAAAAGGCATACTTTTTAAAAACATATGTAAAACAATAAAATTTTAAAATCATGAATGATTAATTGAACAAAAAAGAAAAATATAAATAAAATAAATATAGAAAATTGGAATAAATAATTTATAAAAAAATCGTTGGCAAAGTCATTGCGAATATAATCTTAAAGAAACCATTATTGAGGAGGTTCTGGAGATTTTGTCTTTTGTGAGTTAGAATGATGGCGCTAGGTGAGTTTATTTATTTATTCATTCCTTTATTTATATTTTGGTGAAGATGGATATTCGGGATGCTGAAGAGATTAGGGTTTGAAAGAATCCTCTCATTGGCTTAGCTTCGTTGCTTGCTGTTCCCAAATGCTTTTTTGGCATATTTTGTTCCTCTCTTTTCTTTATTTTCTCTTCTCTTCTTTCTAATTCTAATAAACAAATCTTATACTATATTTTCATTATTGTTTTTGCAAATATTTTAAAAATTGAGAGACTAACCTGTTGACGTGTTTTTTCCGAATGTTTGGATCGTCTGTCTTTCTTCAATCTAGATCGCTCGGTTACATCCAATCTACTTTGTTGTCCGATCGGCATTGGTGTAGATCGATCGATCTCCTGGATGAGGGAGGAGGTACCTGCAAAAGGCACTCAGACGTCCAAGTTAGGCGTGTGATATGAAGAGTGTTGGCTCTTAATTGAATGCTTAGTGAACAATTGTCACTACTTGAGTATTTGAGAATGGGGTGAGTGTGAGTGAAACATAATGGAGTATGAATTGAGCGTAAATAGAACATACCTGGTTTTCGGCCTTGGCTTTGTATTTATAATTTACCTCATGGATCCTGAGCTGATATAAGCACAATAAAATATGAACAAAATAAGATATAAACAAATTACCTGAAAGAAAGACCCAACGGCCCTGAGTGGATAGACCGAACGGTCTACCCTAGGTACGATACATATGCCCCCAAGTCTAAGTTAAGCGTTCAGCTTTAGTCACTATAGGACTTATGGGTTTGAGGGAGGCTGCTTTTAGTCGTTCTTCACCTGCGGCGGGATTTATGAGTTCTCCTTTCGAACTTTGCCATGAATCGAGCAGTAAATGATGGGAGTCCCTTTTAGAACTTTTTCCCATTTGATCAGTGACTGATATTATCCAACTTACCTGTTATGAGGTAAAATAACAACTTAATATGAACTGTCAAAAGAATGTAAGCCTCTAGACTAACCCATTTTATAAGGTCGAATGGCCAAGCAAGGGAGACCGCTCTGTTAAAGATGCTCGAATGAGAGTGATTGTTCCTCAGCTCTTTGTTTTTGGCCTAGGAGTTCCTGGAGAACTTCCTAGTAGATGAGAGTGACCGTTCGTGGCCCAAGAGTTCCTAGAAAACTTCTCAGTAGATAAGAGTGACCATCTGTGGCCTAGGAGTTCCTAGAAAACTTCCCAGTAGACAAGAGTGACCGTCTGTGGCCCAGGAGTTCCTAAAGAACTTCCTAATAGACGTGAGTGATCATCCGTAGCCTAAGAGTTCCTGAAGAACTTCCCAGTAGACGTTAATGACCGTTTGTGGCCAGGATTTCCTGGAGAATCTCCTAGTAGACATTAATGACCGTCTGTGGCCATGGAGTTCCTAAAGAATCTCCCAGTAGACGAAATCTGTGAGGCCGAGTGGCTGAATGCTTGAACACTTGACGCCATGGTGGACGGACGGTAGAGGCCGAGTGGCCGAATACCTGTGAGAGCTGATGGTCGAGTACCTGTGAGGTCGAACGACCGAATACCTGAATACTTGAGGCCATAGAAGGCCGAACAATAGAGGCCGAATGGGTGAGCACCTGTGAGGCCGGATGGCCGAGCGTTAGAGACCGAATGGCCGAGCACCTGTGAGGCCGATTGGCCGAGCATTAGAGGTCGAATGGCTAAACACCTGTGAGGCCGGATGACCAAGCGTTAGAGGCTGAATGGCCGAGCACCTGTGAGGCCGGATGGCCGAGCGTTAGAGGTCGAATGGCCGAGCATTTGTGAGGCCGGATGGCCGAATACCTTACTACTTGAGGCCCCGAAAAGCCAAACAGTAGAAGCCAAGTGACCGAATATTTGATAACTTTGTTTAAACAAAAAATTGATCGAGCGTATTTGCTTCAACAAAACAACTTTAAAGAAAAAAGAACAAATGTTTTAATAAAACGTGACAATAATGTTTAATTGAAGTAAATTTTGATATGAGTCTATTTTCCTAGTCTATGGATAGTTTTTTCTTTGAGCCAATAAGTTCTTTTAGTAAGATGTCGAGTTTAACTAGTAGTTGTTTATGCTCCTCTGTCCGTTTGAGGGGGAACGAAGGGTGTGACTTTTAAGCTAACATTATAGCATTCTCGAGCTGTCCGTTGATCTGCCCATATAGTGCATATGGTACCCTTATCTGACGCGAATTTCAAGGATAAATATGGGATAGAGACCACAGCTCCGAAAGCATTCAAACAAGGTTGTCCCAACAGAGCGTTATATGGAGTATGAACTTCTACTAACAGGAATCTTATTCTGAATTATTTCGCTTCTCTATCCATTCCAAGCTGAGTCCTCAAGTCTAAGTATCCTCGAGTATCGACTCTTTCTCCTGTGAATCCCACAATTTGCTCATTAAATGGGCATATGGCATCTTCAGACAAATCCATTTGTAAGAACGTCTTCCAATACAAGATGTTGACCGAGCTACCCTGATCGACTAACACCTTGCTAATAACACAACGAGATATCTCGGCTGTAATGACCATAGGATCATCTTGATTCGGGTTAGGGGCATGGAAGTCCTCATCAATGAAGGTAATTTGTGGTAAAGATTGAGACTTTCTATCCACCATGTGAACGGTTTTGAGTCTCCTCAGGTGCCTTTTCCTTGCTGACGATGATGTTCCTCCTTCAGCAAAACCTCCAGAAATGGTATTGATGTACCTGCGAACCGATCGATCACGTTCACGACTGCGACTACGGTTGCGGCTGTGCCTATGTCC